TATATTATATTATATTATATTATATTATATTATATTATATTATATTATATTGCATTATTTTTTTTCAAATTCAGAATCACCACATGAATGTCACGGTATTCTGTAGAGGTCGCGGTAGGAATAATGGTAGATAGCCCCAAATGTTTGAAATTTCGAAAGAATTAATGAAAGGAACGAAACATTTATCGGGAGCAGCAATCAAAGCTGCTTCAAATAGTCAGTGCAGGCGGATTGTAGTGCAGAATACGTGAGGGCTAATTACAGCTGTTTACACAAATCTGTACATGCTCTACTATTCCACCATGATGATACGTATGAGAGGCCGAAAGCTTCGTCAGCTCTCTGGATCTCGATTTCAGGTGGCCATTAGGCTTCGAAGACTAGCAAAAAAAAAAATAGGCGGAAAAAGGGATAATTCTGCTCTCTTCGATTTCCCCTTATGCTGATTTTTCTGGATGCCCCCTTTCCTGATAGAATTTTAGCCAGCTAGGGAACTCCTTTTAGCGTGGGTCGTACAGACACAATATACTGTAAGTGGGAGGCGCGATTTGAAGCTTTATTGAGGGTCTTTGAATGCCACTCGTTCGGAAGAAAGGCTCAGCAGTGTTACGACAATTCACAGTGTACAGTTCTATCAATTTCAAGAGCCAGTTAATTCGCCTGTCATCTCGTTGAACATCGACTTTTTCGAGCATGAGCCATGGTCAGGCTCCAAACGTCCTGTGGCGAGCCAAAGTAGACCAATGGTTCGTCCTCTTTCGACGGTTACAGAACACAGCATTTCATTAAATTAGAGCTTTCGTGAGGGAATCTGACCATGAAAAGTAAGCGGTAGTCCTGGTGTTTGTTTGCCGTTCCGAGGGATGCAGTCAGTAACCGCTCTGGCCCAACCGTCATCACAGTACCAAACGATGTGTCCGGCCTGCTGATCTTCGACTCCTTGGCATAAGCAACTACCACTCTGATCTTCGTTCTTTGACGGAACTCAAAACACCGGATTCCCTCCTGAAATTGAGTATATAGGAAAGCTACAAGCATACTCCCTCCTTTCAACGACTGCATCTTCAAGAATACAGGCTGAGAATAGGGAAGTGCTAACCAAAAATTCCATTGAGAAGGGGAAATGTGAAATTGACATCTCAGCACTATTGATCTACTTAGAATGAGCCACGTATCCTACTCTCTTGAAGTATCAAACGTGTCTAGACCTCAAAACCTACAAACGATGCAAACATGCATAAACGTTCATTGATATACGTATTTCACATCTTCCATATTTGAAAACCTGGCTGGTATGTCCCACTGCGCAGTAGTTTCTTTTGCCGAAACCACCATATAGAACGATGATCGAGATGAGTAGTTTCAAATTCTCAAAACAGCTTAAAGGTACTAGTAAATCATGGAATAGTGCCGGTCAGCAACGACACGATTAAACAAAGATCTAAACCTTATTATGTTCCTCAGTGTTGTGAAGCTCGTACTAGAGAGGATGGGCGAGGAGACCAGCTTGGCTACCGGTCCCTTTAGTCATGGTCATACATTGATGGACGGAAGAGTTTCATTTGTACTGCCATCCACCTTTGATGGAGTCACTATTCATTTCTGATAAAGCATGATAAGAATGTGCCCGAAGAGGTCGGGACTGGATAGTTTGGTTACCAGCAGAAGTACACCCCATGAAACTTGAGCGGTGCTGATCGAAACTAACCTTATGATTGTATCTAGTTGTGCGGATGAGTATATTGGTGAGATGGCAGAACCAAGTAAGGAATAAGGAGCTCTCAGGGGCCATGAACAGACTGATAAAACCTACTGCCACAAAAAACCCCGCAATGGAAATCATAAAATTCATTACAAAGACATTTTCGAAGTCACCGTGAACGTAATGGCATTGGATGGGCACTTTAAAAAGGAGCACTTTCCCCTAAGTCCCTCATCGCCTTCCTTTTTTCGCAGTCCCTACTTGACGGGATTTAGTGTTTACTGAATCGTATTGTTTACTGAACTGTGTGGTTATTTCCATGCCATCAATGCTTTGAAGGATATCGCACAAGCAAGTCATCATGGATGAAAACCTCGGATGACCGATCCCTATCGGTTCCCTTCAGTTTTCTCCACAGTTCCGTCCTTGCTACATGAATCCAATTTGTATTTTGAAGTG